TATATATAACTCCAAAGGTCTTGTAATTAAAATCCTGCATGTGGTTGAATGATGCACCTGATATAAATGTACATTTCGTCAGCTTTACTTCTCTTTTCAATTTGAATTTTAATGAGAGTAGTATAAAATTTAAATTTTTTATGCATACCTGCGTGTGTTTTTTACGGTTCTGTACAACGAATAAAAATTTCCCTCTAGGATAATAAAGTATTATCGTTGGCGGGTGCTCTGGTGTGGTCTGCTCCTTCTTTCCTATCAAACATCTGTCGTCCTTATCTCACCTCCTTCTTTTTTGTGTTTGTTACTCTCTTTGTAACGCATATTCTATTTTTAGGCACTTATATGACCTTATTGTGTTGCAAGTGCCGTAAAACTCTTACTAAAACTAAACTAAAGTGTTATCATCTTATCTTATATATGATCTTATCTTATCTTGTACGGGCCGTTCTATGTCCTCACATCGTCAGCACGGTGGGGATGTTGTTGTAGTTTAAAATTTTTATTGTTACTTAAAAGAGTTGTTTTAAATCACAAATGTATTTACACTGAATTTAAATATTTTAACTTTTTAGCATTTTAAAGTAAATTAGTTAACCAGTGGTGAAGTGAACTTTTGCAAGGGTGGACAACTTGTGTTTCGCGCGCTCATATGACCTTAGCAGTTGCGAGCGCCGTAAAACCTTATACTATACACACAATACATACATACGTTGTTGTAGTGTTGTAACTCCCTTGTGTGCTCTTGACATGTCTAGAGATGAATGTGGTTGGTTGGCTGGCACTATGATAGTGCATAACAAGGTAGTTCACTCCTCTCTTTGAGCCAATTAAAAAAAGCGTCCTCAAAATCCGGTGGCGCCCTCTTCGGAAAAGCGCACCCTTTGCGAACAGAGTTACCCTACCTGTGTGGAAAAAATCAATGTGAAACTAACAAGTTTTTGAATAAATTGGAATTCAAATTTCGGGAGAAGGCTTTTTTTTTAAATGGCTACGCTGACAAAAAACTCAGAAGAGGCGACTGTTTTCTTTGATTAATTTGACTTTAGAATGAGAGGTGAGAGGTCACTTAAATTTTTGAAAACCTAAAACTCCACTCTGAACGAAGCCAAACAGCGGATGAACAGCAGTCGATCTGCGCCCGCAAGGGGGGTGCTATTCCTATTCTTCTTGTGGAGAAACGAAAGATAGCTTCAAAACAAAGACTGCCGCGTCATCTGAACCAATGAACGGACTTCCGCAGACACTTTTTTGGCTGATTGAACCGTCTTGTTATGTACTATCTTTGGTTGGCGGGTGCTGTGGTCTGGTTTGCTCCTTGTTTTCTGTCAAACGACTATCATCCTTACCTCTCCTCATTTTTTAATGTTTATTACTCTCTCGTAACACCTCTACTAACACCTGTAATTTTTTGTCACTTATTATATAACCTAGTTATGTTGCACGTGTCATAAAACTCTTACTGTGAGTGGTTGGTGGGTGCTGTGGTGTGGCTGCTCCTTCTTTCCTATAAAAAATCTATCGTCTCTATCTCCCCTCCTTCTTTTTTTTGTGTTTGTTACTCTCTTGTAACACCTCTAATCTTCGGCACTTTTATGACCTTGTTGTGTTGCAAGTGCCGTAAAACTCCTACTAAACATAAAAAACCCTTACTAAAACTTTAAAAATCCTTCTATGTCCTCACTTTGTGGGCCCAGTGGGGATGTTGTGTTGTGTGTTAACTCTGCATGCACTGCGTCTCTAAGATAAGTGTGGGTGGTTGGCGGGTGTTCTGGTGTGGTTTGCTTCTTCTTTCCTATCAAACATCTATCGTCCTTATCTCCCCCCCTTCTTTTTTATGTTTGTTACTCTCTTGTAACACCTCTAATCTTCTAGCGCTCATATGACCTTATGCAGTTGCGAGCGCCGTAAAACCTCTACTAAAACTAAGATGCGTAGCAGTGAATCTGGTGTAAATAAAAATTATGTATATAGTCCCCCCCAGGACGGTGCCACTGACTGAAGGGTCTTTAGGCCATTCCCAAAGGGGGAGACATTTCTCGTTCTAATGCACAGCAGAATTGTAAATGGGCTGATCCAACAATGTCATGCTCATAACTGTGCCTGAATTACAACACTCTTCTTCTTTTGTATGTTTGTCACACTCTTGTGACCCGCTTTTTCCAGAGTGCCTTGATAGTCAAAGCAGACTTTGTGCTATTGAAGCTAGGGAGGTGAGCTGAGTAAGTCTGATTCCCTGAGAACTTCTCTGTTGACATCCATCCCTTGGCGCTCATATGACCTGTTAGAAGTTTTGGTTGATATAAGTCTCTCACATGTGTGCAGTCATGTTTGAATTGTTCTGCTTTGTTTCGTTGGGTTAACGGTAATTTTATAATTAACATTTTTTTTCTCACTCTTCTGTTTCTCAGAGAGACGAAGCCAGACACACAGTACACAGGCCGCAAGCGGAAGGGACATCATTTCTAGCCTGCACTCCTCTCCCCTTCTCCCTTTTCCCCATGTTCACGTCTTTCTGGCTGTACATAGAGCAAATAAAAATGAGCCGGCGCTCCAATACACCCATTGTTCCTTTGGTTTTATTTTGGTTTTTTAATTTCCTTTTGAGCTGTTATTTTAGTTTTTTTAGAATACAGAGAAAGGTGATGTGGTGATTTAGTCTCAAATGCCAAACAGGTTATCTCAGTGTGTTATTTGTAAACTTTTTTCACCTCTTGGTCATGATT